TTTGGCTAAATTATTTTTCCTTCCTTACCAAAATGTGTATTCTGCTTTAATTTGGTCAGCAGCAGGCAAATGAACCTGAGCATGAACCAGCGTGGCTGGTAACATAACCAAGAGCCACAATGAGAGGGGGCTTATTGTGTGAGGCTGAGCTATTCTGGGGACCAGAGTTCAAGCAACAACCACACTTCAGGGTCCCTGGAGACATGCAGTCTCAGTGACTGGACAAGAAACAGTGTCTCCACAAGAGACATCATGGGGAGGGGAACGGCTATTTGCAGACTTGAAACCACAGGTATAGGGCAAAAACTTCTGAATGGGACCTTAACAGCACAGGAACTAATACCAAGAATCAGCAAATGAGACTGCATTAAATGAAGAAGCTTCTGTATAGCAAGAGAAACAGTTAAAAGAGTGAAGAGACAACCTGTAGAATGGGAGAAAAATCTTTGTCAGCTATTCTTTCAACAGAGGATTGGTATTGAGAGTGTACAAGGAACTGAAAAAAAAATATCAGAGCCAAAACAACACCAAAATAACCAAAACCAAACAAATGGCCCAATCATTAAATAGGCAAATGAATTGAAGAATCACCTTTTAAAAGAAATACAAATGACCACTAAGTCCATGAAAAATTGTACAACATCTTTATCCATTAGAGAAATACAAATCATTCCACTGGGATTCTATCTCACTCCAGCCGGAATGGCTATCATTACAAATACAGAAAACAATAAATACTGGTGAGGATGTAGGGAAAAGAGGAATCCTTTTACACTGGTGGTAGGAATGTAAATTAGTACACCATCTTCTCATCTCCAAAAAACTAAAATAGATCTATTACTTGATCCATTGATACACTTCTTGGTATATAGCCAAAGGAATATATTACAGCATATTGTAGGGATACAGTTTATCCATGTTAACTGTGGCACTGTTCACAATAGCCAAGACATGGAATTAGCCTAAGTGCTCATCAATGAATGAAGATTATATATATATATATAAATTTGGCCACAAGAAAGGGCAAAAGTATGTCATTTGCAGGAAAATGGATAAAACTAGAGTTTAGAATGTAAGCAAAATAAGCCAGACTGGAAAAAAAAAATTGACTGCTTTCCCTAAAAAAGATGACACAAAAGTAAAAAGGGAGATTATTATTAGATGAGAAGATGGAAATATGGAGGAGGTGGAGGGAGGTGCAAGGGAGGGTGACGGAGTGATAGATATGATCAAAATGTACACATGTATAAAAATACCACACTGAATCCCAGTATTTTATAAAAATAGGCATTAATAAATAAATTTTTAAAGTGAAATAAATAAAAATGGGCCAAGAGCTTGAGTTGGCATTTTTCCAGAGAAGACATACAAATGACAATGAAGTTTGTGTAAAGTTTCTCAATCATTTGTCATTAGAGAGACGTGAATGAAAGCTGTGACAAGATATGACTTCATGTCAACCACAGTGGTGATAAAAATAACAAAGGAGTTGATTGTTTGATCAATCTTACTTTCTTACGTCAGGCAGACTGAGCAACTTTGTTGAAGATAACAGTATGTAATGTAGCAACCACTGTTAATTCCTATCATTTTGTTTGGAGGTCATGTATCATCTTTGTTGTTTTTGTGTTGTTTTTATTTTGTCTTCATTGTTGTTTTGTTCGTTTTTTATCTTTAAAATAAAAAATAAAACAACAACAAAAAACAAATACAGGGGAACAAGTGTTGATGAGGAGATGGAGAAATTAGGTTCCTTATAAATTTCCAGCGAGAATAGTACAGCCATTGTGGAAAACAGTTTGCAATTCCTCGAAAAGTTAGGCACAGAACTATCACATGACCCAATGTTTTTACAAACTAAAAGCAAGTACTCAAACAACTACTTGTATACAATTGCCACAGTAGCACTATTCATAAGAAACAAAAGCTGAAAACAATCCCAATACACACCGACCCATAAACAGATACATAAGTTGTAGTGCATACAGATAATGAAATCATTCAGCCATGAAAAGGAGAGAAGTATTGATCCACAATGCAACATGAACAAACCTTGAAAACAGTATGTTATGTCATACGACACAAAGGGTGGTATATTATACAATGTCATTCACATGAAATAGCCAGATTAGGTAAACCATGAGGACAGAAAGCAGATTGGTGTGCACAAGGGGTTGGGGAGAGGGGAGATGGGAGGTGACTGTCTAGTAGACAAGGGTTTCCTTTTTGGGTGGTGAAATGTTTTAGAATAATAGAGGTAGTGGTTGCACATTATGAATGCACCAAATGTCCCTGAATTGTATATTTTAAAAAATATTTTATGCTACCTGAATTTCACCCAAATAATAAAAAAGTCTGAGTGTTGATGGAGAAACAACTAATACTAGATCTGAACTGAGGAACCCAAAACTGAGAGGTACAGAGGGGTACAGGTCCAGTGGGAATGGACCACAGACTCTGAGAGGTAGAAACACAAGTGTCTTTGAGGAAAATACTAAGATATAAAACAGCTCTCTGCCTGTGATGGGCAAAAGTAAACATTTGAAGGTGTTGGCAAAAAGTAGGCAACACTGCTCAGGGGAAAGAGAGCCATTAGATGTAATCTCTTAGCCATGAAACCTTTCACATTTTTTACTCAAAAATTCTCAAGAACAGCCCCAGATGTATTGGCTTTAGCCACATTGCTAAACACTGCCATCTCCTGCTTCTCAGGATACTCGCATCTACTTCCTGCAAACTCAGGCACGTAATGAGCGTCCACCTTTCCCTATACCACACTGTATAATTACATACACACTCATGTGGATATGTAACTTTATTTAAGCTAAGGAGCACCACAAAGTGGCCCTGGGCACAGACTCTGGAGCCAGGCTCCCTGATTTCCAGCTCTGACAACACTGCTCTGCTCTTGGGCCTCTGAACAGCTTGCATCTGGAAGGCAGCTATTCTAACTACTCTGCCACCAGTGCTTCTGAACACTGTGCAGCTGGCTCCTGCAGACACAGTCAAGTGTGTTCCTCTTTCTGCAGCCCTGCTCCCATAACTATGTGACTTTAAACTACTTAAGTGTTCTATGCCTTCTTTCCTCATCTGTGGGAACAGTTTATTTCAGAGGGCTGTTACGAGAAACATTCATAGAAATGAGTAAAGGGAGAGGTATTTTAGTATGAGGGAGAAGGATTTTAATATGAGGACATACAGAATAATTATAGAGGAGGATTCATTCTTGTAAGTAGGTAAAAGGTAAAGGTAAAGATTCAAGTCACTGGCCCCAGGCCAGAAAGTGGCTCCTCAGTGAAGGATAGACGTTTCCTCCTTCTGCGTCTTATATATGTATTTCTCAAAGTTGTATTCTCATTCCACTTCTCTCCTTAACATCCCTTATTGTCCTGTGCTGCTGATTCTGAAGTCTCCATCCTTGATCCTACTCCTAGTCCTAAATTTCCATCTGCTTTCAGAAAATCTCCTTGTGACTGTCAGCCTCATGCCTTAAATTAGTAGGTCCAAAGCTGAGCTCCCCCTCCTCCCCATGGACGCTCTCTATCCCAACTCTGCAGCCTTCCTTGGCTGTCTTGTCCGAAACATGACTGCCTTCCCATCGTATTTCACGTCCCCCGCTTCCTGCTTGAGTGATGTCCTCCTTGTCATTTATGACCATCCAATGTTCTGTTTTATTTGTTTATAGTTTGTCTCCCCTGCCAAAATATGAATTCCACCATAGCAGGAATTTTTGCCTGCTTTGCTTATGATGTGCCTGGAGGAACTAGAACAGCGCAGGCATTCAGTCAGTGCCTGGTGAGTATTTACTGAGTGACCTAGGGAATCCTCCTTTCCTTTGATTCCCATTGCCAATTAATAGAGTTAGCTCTACATCTATGACATCTCTTGCTTTCTGTTGTGCTGCTGACATATTTGTTCAACTGTCACCGAGTCTCAGAATAGTTCAGGAGCTTACCATATTATGGCTTGTTATTTAAATCATCTTGGCTTCCATTCCTCATGCTAAAATAGGATTATTAATAACACAAATGCATAGAATTGTCATGAGACCTCTAAACATGGTACATATACAGCACTCAGCCCAGTAGTTGAAATAAAATAAGCATTCTAGAAATTCTAGCTGTTTTTATCAACCTTCCAGCACTAACTCTGGGCTAGCTTTCGTGTCTGGTTTCTTCTTACTGAATGCCATTCTTTGGCCCTAAAGAACCACTTTGGTTTCCCAAACATAACATGAACCTCCACGTTCTCCATGTAAGAGACAGCAGGAAACAAGGCTACATCAGTTAATTCATTTCTCATTGCCATTTGTTGAACTAGACAACCTCCAATTTGCATCAAAGGAAGGTCAAGCTGGACATCTATTTTTTCTTTTTTCACACTTGGCAAAAGGGAAGAGGACTATCTCTGGTGTTCCTGTTTGAACCCAGAGATTCCAGTCAAACCGAATCACAGGGCTTTAATATTTTACATAAGGATAACGAGGTCCCAAACAGATAACTACCCTCCCTGCAATTACACAGTAACATAGTACCTAAGTGGTAGAGGATTCATTTTTTATTTTTGTTTTTTGTTTTTTTTTTTGTTTTTTCTCCGGTACCGGGAACTGAACTCACGACCTTGTGCTTGCCAGGCAGGCGCTTTTGCCGCTGAGCTAAATCCCCAGCCCCGAGGATTCATTTTTTAAATCTCAGTTCTCTTTGCACCACATGCTGGTCACAAATCTCAGACAATCATGATTCACAAAAGTTCATTTCCCATGCCCCTGAGAATGCTTCCCTTATGGATAGACCCAGTTAAAGTTGTTATCCTTAAACCATCTCAGACCCTTAGTATTTAAAGTGGAGGGAAGGTGGCAGTATACAGGCACCACAGTGAACCGCTCCCACCCCTTAGCAGACAGCCTGCTCATCAGCTGCATCTAGGTGATTTAGAATAAGCAAGCCGCACAGAAGCAAGATAGTCACTCAGTGACCACATGGGGCTACATGGATGTTTACCTGAGCCAAAGCAGAAGAGAAGTGGGAGAGCTTGGATCAGCCAGAACATGCTCTGGGAGGTGGAGACAGGGGCTGGAGAACTTGAAGTAGTCAACATTGCTATCTGTTGTTAGCTGAAAGTACTTACTTCCTCTTCTTCTCAGAGGGGTGGTACAATACTTCCTCCTACGCTAAACAGCCAGTTATTGACTTTCAGTTTCATTAACAAATTGATCACAAACATACTGTGCATAATTTTAATTTTTTAAGAATTCATTAAGACTTAGAATGTAACTTAACATGTATACTTGAGAAAATGTGTATTCTGTGGTAGGGTAGAGTGCTCTGTGTACGTCTGTTAGATGCATCTTGTTGGTAGAATTGTTTAAGCATTCTACTTCTGATTTTCTTTATTTTTGTCTTTTCCTTTTGTCATATTTAACGTGGCTTCAACGTCTTTGTCTGATAAGTTAAATGCCGGAGGCTTCTTAGAGACTGTGTCAATAAATTTTTTTATATGGGGTGTGTGTGTGTGTGTGTGTGTGTGTGTGTGTGGAATTAGAAAATTTTTCAGATAAAATTTTTTGGGGAAAAATTAGCTGCCACTTCCTGTTTCTGTGAACAGGCTCTGCAATGGGGCTGTCCTTCACCAGTTAGCCTGGCTATCCCTGAATCTAGGAATCAAACTGCTATGCTTTGCATGTGGTTGGAGCGCATCTCCCAAAGGTTCGTATGCTGGAAGCTCTATTGTCTGGGTATGAGATGATGGTGACTTAAGAGTACTGTAACTAGCAGTGACATAACAAAAGTGGATGGATTGTGGAAATGTTTGGGAAGTGTACTGGTGGATTTCAAGGCCAGCTTCTGTTTCAGTGATTCAGGGAGAAGAACCACAGACTCAGCATATTGGTGGCAATAACTAATTGCAATGAATGGACACAAAACAAATCAGTAAAGGGAAAAGGGTACAGAGAGCAAAGTCCAGAGGAAACCAAGTGCAAGCTCTCAATAATCCTCTTAATGAACTCACAAGGATGGACATAATTCCTTTGACAACACATTTGAAATATAGTCTATTAGGAAAGCTCATCTGAGTGTAGGAGTCCAGAGCTTATATTCAGTCATGTAAGCATGCTCTGTCTAGCATGTACCAGAATTCCAGCTTCAGTGAAAGAAAGCAGATATTCAACACAAACCAGGTGTGCGGTTTACGCATAGTGTGAGTTACTCTTATCAGGGAACTTGAACCTCCAAAGTTCAAGTTCTGAGGTATTAGCCAAGTACGGACCAAACCTACAAGCATTTCTTTTAAAAGGTAGCAGTCTTAAGACTATGATAACTCTTTAGTGTTTTCTAAGAATTAATATTCTTTCTGCACAGGATATAAATAGACACTTCTCTTCAGCATTTCCACCCAAAAGTTTTACAGAATAGATTAAGGAAATAGTCTAAGTAGTAAGTGTGGTCAAAGGATTGACACATTCTAGGTAATGCAGTGAAAGGCTGCACAAACTGTTGCATCTTCAATAGTTAATCAAAATATTCATGAAATGCTTCCTTTAGGGGCTGGGGATTTAGCTCAGCGGCACAGAGCCTGTCTGGCAAGCGCGACGTCATGAGTTTGATTCCCGGTGCCAGGGGTGGTGGGGGTGGGGAGGAGGGAAAGAAACGCTTCCTTTGTTAGCTGCACAGGGCCAGGCACTGTGAATGCAAATGGCAAGGAACACCAGGCACATTTGTCTGCTGGTACAGCTCACAGTCCAGTGGAGAAAAAAAGAGATTTTAATGAAATAATAACAGAAACATTTAAAGACAAAAGTTAAGAAGTGCCATGAAGAAAGCACATGTGGTACAAAGAGAGTGAAATATGGGCATTGGCTATGGGCTGAAGGACAGGGAAGACTTTCTCTGGAAGGAGTGTTGGAGAGGAGCCCAGAATGGATATTAACTTGGGGACACTGTGTACTGGAAGGGGTGAAGGTAAGGAGGGGGAGATGATGTATTTCAGGTAGAGGAACAATCCTAGGGCAAATGTGTAGGTTAAATGAAGTGAAACATGCTAAAACTCAGAGGCTTAGAAGAATACCACCAAAATTTTAAAATCTCCTCAAGGGGTTATCATACTGGCTTAGAGAATGTTTATACAAGAGTTCTCCAACTCTTTGAGGGTAGCAGTGAATTTCATTCACACAAAAACAGGATGCAGAGATGTAGTTGCAGAGCTGGGAGTAGCACATCTGGGAAGAGTAGATAATGACAGAGGACTTGGGACTTCTCTAATAAGAAGGCAGTAAATAAGGTGGTTTTCCTCCCACAGACATAGAAGCTTCCATTTGCTATCTCCTATACCATTTCTTAGCAAGTCACTTCCTGTCAAGGGTTCTGCAAAACATCCTGAAGCCTACATCTATGCGTATAGGAACCATAATCTTATTTAGAAGTCCAGCCCTTTTGGCCACAATCTCATTAAAAGCTCAGTTCTTTTATCCCTTTCCTCTAAGTGGCACTGTGAGTGACAACTCTCCAGTTTCCAGCCCCTTTTCTCTCCCAGTGTCTGGGTCCCAACCTAAATTCAGTCCCACGGACCTTGATGAAACCGGGCCGCACACTGGCTCCCGGGGCACTGTGGGTGAAACATGAGGAAGACAAGGCTCCCATCCTGGAGAGTCATGGCTGCAAAAGCACAAAATTGAAATGCCCAGTTCTCTCCACTCTAATCAGGGAAAAACCCTTTAAGTTCTAGCCATTTGCCTCTGCTGCTCTCCGATTTCTTGCTGTTTCTGGTATTTGTCCCCTTTGCTATCGTAGACTCTCAGTCCCTTGGTCTTTATATCTGCTAGGGCCTGGGTTTTAAGTTCTCTTTTGCTATTCCAGCTAGTCCCTTTTCTTGAAAAACCAAAGTAATTAAAAAAAAATAGATGCGTTATAAAATAATATTATCTTTACCTGCTGAAATGGAGGTTGTGGTCCCATTTCTTAAGCACTTGCACAGTAAAATGAGTGAACAACACTTTATTAATGGAAATTTACAAATGGATGACATAAAAGGTAATGTAGATAGGGGATAAGATAATCCTGTTACAAACATGACACCTAGCTTCTGAAATAGGGTTAGTGCAATTTGTTACTATTGAACATAATCTTCAGGTTTATATTAATGCACTTCTCCAACAAGCTTTTTTGGAAGATTTGAAGTTCATTAAATACATAAAACTAAAAAAAGAGGAAGGCCTTTGACCCCAAATATCTCATTGATCAGTTGGAAAGACAGTGAAAACAGTATCACAACAATGGACAGACAGAAGAAAAAAAGTTAACATCATGATAACTACTCATGATGGTACATGCCTGTAATTATAGCACTCAAGGAGGTTGGGGTACAGAAGAATCTGAAGTTCGAGGCCAGCCTGGGCAACTTAGTGAGTTCAAGGCTGACTGGACTATGGAGTGAGATCCTGTCTCAAAAAACAAAAACAAAACAATAGCAACCCCAAACTCCACAAGCTATATACAGTAAGTCCCTGATTTAGGAACATTGGAGTTGTGAACTTTCACAGGTGTACTAAGACTTACTTTGTCAGCTTACAAACAAATCTGACTTATGAACAATTCTTCCAGAATGGAACTCGTTTGTAAGTCAGGGACTTCCTAATTACCCTTGGATATGGTAAGTGCCATCACAAGGTACTTGTGCAAATAGAGGGTAAATAGAGAGCTACATAGTGAACTTTGGGTGGGAAGTTTTGGGAAGCTACATGAAGAGGGAATGCTCTGTCTGCCCCTTGAAGGAAAAAGGGCCAGGGATGGATAAGAGAGCAGGGCATTCCTGGCAGAGGACATGGCATAAGTAAAAGTGTGTGAGGTGAAAATGATTTGGTAGATCCATGGTCTCATGATAATTCTGTGTAGCTGGAGCCTAGGGAGCAGAAAGAGAGGGAACTGGAAGACCTGATGGGTCAGATAGCTAAGGAGTCTCATTCTGTTATAGGCAGCTGAGTTAGATAGAAATATTACAGGCAGTCAGACAAAGCCAGGCCCTGGAAGGAGCCAATATGGAAGACAAGATACCTTGCAAATGGAAATGTATTTGCTGTGGGTCAGCCTCAAGACAAAAGACTAAACAAATGCACCCACAATCCTCCCTAGGGATGGACTTCAGGGGTAGATATTCTAAATAGGCAGCAATCACCTTGAAGAGTCACTGATCCATCCTCTTACACGAAAAGCCCCTGTTCTGTATTCATGCCCACTTGCTACGACTCGCTTCTCCATTTGATCCCAATTTAATCAATTTTACCTGAACAATTCTTATTGGCTGACCATAGTTTTGTCCCACCTCAAGTCCACTTTGTGATTTCCCATTTTTCCCTTACCTTGGACCTGCCTCATCTTGTGGTTTTACTCTAGAAAAGTCTCTAGAAAAGACAGTGTTTGGACAACCCACTCGGGGGGACCTCTCTTCTGTCCCTCCCTCAGATGGGAGCTTTCCTTCCCTCAATAAATATGTTCTGCTCTTAACCTCCATTGTTCCTAAAATTCATTCTTATATTTTAGGGAACACAAACTCATCCCAGACATTGGTCAAGTTGGGAGTTTTCTATTTTTCTATATCAGTTCCATAGCAAAAGCTCCCCAATAGTGAAATGAAGTGATAAAATCTGTGCCTTAGAAAAGTTATTGTTTATGTGATAGCAGCCCAGGTAATACATGATAAAAAAGAGTGGGGCTGCAGAGAGGGATGTGCTGGAGAAGCAGGTAGATTGAGGGGATGTGGTGGAAAGAAGCCATATAGGGGAGCTGGGAGTTCTAGGACATAATAAGTGATTAGATGTAGAGGGGGGTTGGGGGAACAGGAAGAAAGAAGAATGAATCAAAATTTTGGCTGTTTACTTAGATGAGCTACTTGAATTTGCTGCAACTCACATTCTTAATTTGTGAAATGGAGGGTGATTGTATCTACTTCAGAAAGTAGATGAGTTTTAAATGAGTTAGTACAGCACAGAGAATAGTACATAGTATGCACTCAATAAATTTATGGTTTATGGTCGATCCCTAATGACCACATGAGAAACAAGGAATAGAAGTTGGAGCGGTCAGGGACAGATCC